TACCCCACCCTGAACCTGCCCCGTTGCCATCACTAATTTCACTCTCTAAATTAGGTTAAGGTTATATTTGTAAAATAATTGTGGTGTATCTATTAAAAACTATTTTAATTGGTATGTATTTATAATGTAGTAGAGCAATTAAAAATCGTGATATGAGTATAATTATCTTTAGTCAAATAAGGATTTGTAATATTTTTTACTTTATGCTACGCAATGCATATTTGATATTTTTAGTAATCGTCAAATTTGGCCTAAATTCATTGTTAAATATTTAATATAACTCACTTTTGAATCACTTGAGAGATGCGAATATGCATCTTTAACAAGTGGCAATAACAATATCATGGGGTTAATGAATCACCGCTCCAACCCTAATTAGTCCATGTTCCGTCTCTTAGATCATTGGACTTCAATGGTCTATACCAAATTTGATGTAATTGGATTGAATTTGGTGTAACATCTCCAATGATTACACCAAATTTGGTATAATGAACTAAAATATTGCATTTAGTAATAAATTAAAAAAGATTAAACAAAATACCACAATTAAAAAAATTACATTGAATTGAAAAATAATTATTACTATTACTTGATTAGAATTTAAAAATAAATCTTAAATATAAACAATTATAAATAAATTAAAACTATTAATTGAAAAACTTCAAATTTGGTGTAAATGATAGTGTAACACTATTCATCATACCATATTTGCCATACCATTTGAGAGCATTTTATACCAAATTTGTCATCCCATCATAGATGGTCTTCCACGATCTCCTTCATCACAATCGTCTTCCTCTAACATACCAACCAACAACTGCGATTGTCATCGGCTATGTCACTTCTACTCCATCACACACTCGTGACCCCGTCGACATTTTCTATCACAATAACCTCTTTCGTCACCATATTTGGAATTTTAGATCCGAACCAAATCTTCCCCTTTGGTGAAAATTTTAGATCTTAATATTTTTTATGTTGATGGCTTCAATATTGGTGGTGGTGGTGAGATCAGATGACATAAATAATGGAATTTTCGGATTAAAAAAAGGAAAATTTGTTGTGGTGGTCATGGCGAGTGTTAGTGATGGTGTTGAGGTGGTTTTTTATGGTGGTGAGATGGGGTGATGACGACTTTTGTGTAGGTGGCAGATGGGATGATGTTGTAGTTGTTGGCTGTGGTAGGCTTGATGGTGGTGTATGTGCATATCAACGTCGATGGTAGTGGTAATGGTAGAAACCGACAGAGACGACACTGATGCCGAAAGTAAGATGGATTTGAGTCGACTGATTGTGAATGAAATGGTCGTTGGTTGATGGTGGCGAAGGATTGATAGGGACAGTGAAATAACTAGGGCTGAATATGGTCTGGTCCGGTTCGGTTCGGTTCTCCTTAGAATCAAACCGAACTGAAAATTTTCGGGTAGTTAGTTAGTGAACCCGTCGGGTCCAAATATAATTATGGAACCTTTTGAGCACGGTTCAGTACGATAATTAAATTTTTTAACATATACAACACTACATAAATACAACTAATGACACCTTCAATCATAACTTTTACAAATTAACGTAGTCCAATTCAAAAATATTTAAATAACAAGTTGTCCAATACGATTAATTTACCAATGCATAAAAATATCAAAAAGTAGATACTAATACTAAAATAACGATGATCCATATCAATAATTCCATTGCTTCAACTTCAAGTCTACATAAAAAAATGAAATATAAATTAGAAGTCATAGAGATAAAATATTTTTAAGTATTACTAATACTTAGCAACTATTTGATTTAAACATCAATTACTTGACTTGCCATACTAAGAAACTCTACAAAAAAAAATTCAAAAAGCACAATTAAAAAACATAAATAAACTAAAAAGTGTTCAACTAATAAGATTTGATATTGGAAAATATAATATATATATTTTATTACCTATCTTAATACTCTCATAGGACTCTGTCTCTCCAATACAAACTTTATCTTCGGAAACTCTCAAAAGTCTAGATTCTTCCCTTAGCCAATTTTGTGTACAAATCAAGGCCTCGACTGTTTTAGGAGTTAAAGAACTCCTAAATGGATCAATAATGTGCCCCTCAGTGCTAAATGCTGATTCAGAAACAATTGTAGATACAAGCATGACAAGAACATCCCTTGACCTCAGATAAAAATTCGAATCTTGAATTGTTGATCTTCCACCAAGTTAAAATGTTAAACTTTTCATTAGTAGCATCTTCAGTGGGTTCCGTTAGACATCGTTGTACCTCATCTTTTCTAGAAAAATCCATTTTGCTAGTTTTCATTTTCTTGTACCCAAGATCAAAATTATAATCATCTGACCCTCCAATAAAGTGATCCATCATTAGATTCATCGCCACCACTTCCACTTGCTCTATTGTTTGAACGATGACACCCCTTGT